GTCGTACATTTCGTCCTGTACTATCAACCACTGGTTTTCCAGGCCCAGATTCGTGTATCTCAGGTCGTCATTAGAAAGCTGAAATGTTGACGTCAAACACCCACTCACTCACTCACTCACGGAGACACCATCGTGTGTGTGTGTGTGTGTGTGCGTGTGTGTGTGTGTGTGTGTGTGTGTGTAGCGACATCGTGGAATTTACAGTACATCGGTGATTGTGTGAGTGAGAGAGCCGTGATACTGTGGAATATCCCAGTCAGCTGTATATCTCAGATAGGAATAACTGACTTGCTGTAGAAACACTGTCACTGCACGTTACCATATATCCTGAAGTAAATATCACTCGTGTGATGAAGTCAGTATTACAACGTGGTACTTGTGTGATGAAGTCAGTATCGCCCCGTGGTACTCGTGCGATGAAGTCAGTATCACGCGGTGGTACTCGTGTGATGAAGTAAATATCACTCCGTGGTACTCGTGTGATGAAGTCAGTATCGCCCCGTGGTAGTCGTGTGATGAAGTCAGTCTCACACCGTGGTACTCGTGTGATGAAGTCTGTATCACTCATTGGTACTCGTATGATGAAGTAAATATCACTCCGTGATACTCGTGTGATGAAGTCTGTATCACCCTATGGTACTCGTGTGATGAAGTAATTATCACTCCGTGGTACTCGTGTGATGAAGTCTGTATCACCCTATGCTACTCGTGTGATGAAGTAAATATCACTCCGTGGTACTCGTGTGATGAAGTAAATATCACTCAGTGGTACTCGTGTGATAAAGTCAGTATCGCCCCGTGGTACTCGTGTGATGAAGTCTGTATCACCCTATGGTACTCGTGTGATGAAGTCAGTATCACTTGGTGGTACTCGTGTGATAAAGTAAAGATCACTCAGTGGTACTCGTGTGATAAAGTCTGTATCGCCCCGTGGCACTCGTGTGATGAAGTCAATATCGCCCCGTGGTACTCGTGTGATAAAGTCAGTATCGCCGCGTGGTACTCGTGTGATAAAGTCAGTATCACTCGGTGGTACTCGTGTGATGAAATCAGTATCGCCCCGTGGTACTCATGTGATGAAGTCTGTATCACTCAGTGGTACTCGTGTGATGAAGTCAGTATCACTCAGTGGTACTCGTGTGATGAAGTCTGTATCACTGTATACTGAATGTGGTCAATACCAGTCCGTAAGCCAGTATAAAAAGCATTCAGGTTTGTCATATTACCCATGGCCAAATAAAATGACCGATTATCAAACATACGAAATGTAGTGAAAACTGATTATTTCTGTTGAAGTAATCCTCCGGAATCTTGCCTTCGACTAGTTGAGCCAATAACACTTAAAACCTCATCCCAGATGATAATACGCGCCCCTTGGCTTCGGCATCGTTAAACGCACAGATCACGAAGAACGGCACTTCAATGTCGGTCAGCGCTGAACACGCTCTTCACAGATCTGCCTATACCGCGATTCATCTTTTATTGCAAGGACTGTATTAAAGGGAACGTATGTGTTCTCGGTCGGATGCTATCTGCCAATGATCGTACATCCTCTCTCTGAGGTCGACTTAACTGTCCCAGTACGATGGTGTCGGCGTAGACCTCCACAAGCCTCCGAGGCAATGAATATTAGTTTAAATCATAATTCCTAGATTATATACATAATACGAACGCGTTGTCCTAAAAAAAGACTGAATGCTTATCTGGACATGCCGATTATAAGGATAAAATAACGATATATCCATGGCCTTATAATTCAATGTAGCCTTGGAGCAAGGCTAGTGTTGGCGCTTTATCGGCGTTTGTAAAGCGTTTTGGCAAATGCTTTCTGAATTGAGTCAGAGAATCTTGTGCAGACCGTCGTCATTGTGAGGGTATCAATAACTGGTACTTGCTACGCCGTGATGTATGTAAACATAGGCACAATATAGACACGCGACCATTAGGGGCTGGTAATTTATAATGGGGGTTGGTGTGTATGCGTGTGTGGTGGTGGTGGTGGTAGTCGGAGGGGAGGTGGGGGTCTGAGGACTGTATCGCAAATTGCCGACTATCCATGTTCAATGTCCAGTATTCGTCGTCACACAGAGGGAGTGAGTAAGTATGCTTTTACGCCTCTTTTTACGCAATATTCCACAATATCACGGCGGGGGACACCAGAAAGGGACTTCACAAATTGTACCCATGTCGGGAATCGAACCCGGGTCTTCGGCCTGACGAGCGAACACTTTAACCGCTAGGCTACCCGACCGCCCCTTGTCACAAACAATTGTGTGTGGGGGTGTGTGTGTGTGTGTGGGGGGGGGGGGGGGGGGGGGGGGATAATAGCCCCTTGAATGTGTGAGGTCATTGTCACGATTTGACATGACTGACTTATCTCATAGGGACCGACCATTTGAAAGTACTTCCCGCAAATGCAAATAAAAATCCTGCAACAGTATGATGTGGTTTAGTTAAATAATTGTGTTTGGTTCTTCTTTTAAAGAAAGAAAGTGTATGTTTGGGTGCGATTGCCGAGTGGTTCATATGCGTGTTACTGGACAAACTGAGAATATCCGAATCAGTGTTTCTGGCTCTGCTGAAGACGTTCCAGTGGTGTGGATGTGTGTTATCACCTCTCTTCCCTGAACGCCAGATCAGAAGGGAGGTGTGAAGCCTCCTCACACTGTCACGCAATCAGGTGGCAGCACAGGCCACGACACGCACGGCGCAGCCTTCGTCACGTTACGGGCAGCAAAGGTCACGGCTCTCGCAGGACGCCTTCGTCACGTGGCAGGCAGCAAAGGTCACGGCACCCGCAGTGAGCCTTCGTCACGTGGCAGGCAGCAAAGGTCACGGCACCCGCAGTGAGCCTTCGTCACGTTGCAGGCAGCAAAGGTCACGGCTCTTGCAGTAAGCCTTCGTCTCGTTACAGACAGCAAATGTCACGGCTCTTGCAGTAAGTCTTCGTCACGTTACAGGCAGCAAATGTCACGGCTCTCGCAGTACGCCTTCGTCACGTTGCAGGCAGCAAAGGTCACGTCTCTCGCAGTAAGCCTTCGTCACGTTACAGGCAGCAAAGGTCACGGCACCCGCAGTAAGCCTTCGTCACGTTACAGGCAGCAAAGGTCACGGCTCTCGCAGTAAGCCTTCGTCACGTTACGAGCAGCAAAGGACACGGCACTCGCAGTAAGCCTTCGTCACGTTGCAGGCAGCAAAGGTCACGGCTCTCGCAGTAAGCCTTCGTCACGTTACAGGCAGCAAAGGTCACGGCACCCGCAGTAAGCCTTCGTCACGTTACGGGCAGCAAAGGTTACGGCACGTGCACTGCAGAATGTAATGCAGTGTCGCTAAGACCCTGAATAGCAGGTACAATATGCCAATCCAAGGACAGATAACGTCACGGATATCATGTTAAGGACACCCATATACAATAGCAGATAACGTTAAGGACACCCATATACAATAGCAGATAACGTTAAGGACACCCATACACAATAGCAGATAACGTTAAGGACACCCATTCACAATAGCAGATAACGTTAAGGACACTCATATACAATAGCAGATAACGTTAAGGACACCCATACACAATAGCAGATAACGTTAAGGACACCCATATACAATAGCAGATAACGTTAAGGACACCCATACACAATAGCAGATAATGTTAAGGACACCCATATACAATAGCAGATAACGTTAAGGACACCCATATACAATAGCAGATAACGTTAAGGACACCCATACACAATAGCAGATAACGTTAAGGACACCCATATACAATAGCAGATAACGTTAAGGACACCCATATACAATAGCAGATAATGTTAAGGACACCCATACACAATAGCAGATAACGTTAAGGACACCCATATACAATAGCAGATAACGTTAAGGACACCCATATACAATAGCAGATAATGTTAAGGACACCCATATACAATAGCAGATAATGTTAAGGACACCCATATACAATAGCAGATAACGTTAAGGACACCCATATACAATAGCAGATAACGTTCAGGACACCCGTGTACAACGGCAGATAACGTTCAGGACACTTGTGTACAACAGCAGATAACGTTAAGGACACTTGTGTACAACAGTAGATAACGTTAAGGACACCCGTGTACAACAGCAGATAACGTTAAGGACACCCGTGTACAACAGCAGATAACGTTCAGGACTGAAATATGCAGTAACCACTACCCATTCTGAGACGTAAGTAAAACATCAGAGATAATCCACCAGTTCCTGCCATATTAACCAGAGCGCATCCCATATAAACTTCTTTTCTATCATGATTTCTGTGACCACGAATTCTAAGAACAGAAATATGTGTGGCGACCGAAGCATCCTAGTCTTGTACACTGAATAGAACTGGTCGCTGTTATCGTCAAGAAGGAACGTGTTGCAACCAGAGACAATATCTATGCTTTGACAACTGTTCACGTCTCCTCCAGAAGACAGAGGTCGTCATATCGAACATTTCCAATGCTACTATATCAATACTGATGCAGATGTCAGGTCCGGAGGACGGAGGGGGAGCCGTGTAGACAACAAGTCCACTCGTCAACAAAGCGTGGTCTCGATTTCCCCGTCCCCTGCCTGGGATACATAAACAAGGGCCCAACCCACATCCTGGCGCACCCACGCACTCAGAGTCGTGTGTGGATGGTTTTTGTACGGAGATAACGATAGTTATATTACAATCGATAAAGTTTAGCAGATGATCACAATCATCACAAACATACAGGTAGGTGCACTGAGACTGTCCTGTGTCTTGGACACAGGAGTGAGTATGGTTTTACGCCGCTTTTAGCAATGTTCCAGCAGGGGAACACCGGAAAACGAGATTCAGACATTGTACCCATGTCGTGAATCGAACCGGGTCTTTGGCGTGACGAGCTGGCGCTTTGACCACTGGGCTACCCCACCGCCCCGATTTAGCAGAAACGAGAACAAAGATATGTCCCACTGTTCAGGAACAATACCGAAACAAGCAATTTAAGACCTACCTGTAACATTTAGGCCAGCCATCCTCTGGAACTGACGAATGGCGTCCTTGAACGAGGCCTCTGTTCGTAACGCTCCCGTCTTGGGATCTTGGGGCACGAGGTATCCATATTTTATGAGGTAACTCTGGAAAGGAAAATGAATATTTATTACTAACCAGCGGAAAAAGGTTACTGAATATGTGTGTGAGTGTGTGTGTGTGTGTGTGCGTGTGCGTGTGAGGGTGCGTGCGTGCGTGCGTGCGTGCGTGCGTGCGTGTGTTACATAGCTGCTTGATGTATTGATTCATCTACCAGCGCGTCATCGGTTATCGCGCGGATCTCACCATCGAACAGTGATTAAATCATGATTAAATTTATGTACACTGAACGATATGCTCAGACACACCATGACAAATAAACTTACACTGTACGATATACTCAATCACATCATGGCACGATGTATGTTTACTGTACGATGTACTTAATCACATCATGGCACAATTGTATGTTAACTGAACGATGTACTTAATCACATCATGGAACAATGTATGTTAACTGTGTGATGTACTCAATCACATCATGGCACAATGTATGTTTACTGTACGATGTACTCAATCACATCATGGCACAATGTATGTTAACTGAACGATGTACTTAATCACATCATGGCACAATGTATGTTAACTGTATGATGTACTCAATCACATCATGGCACAATGTATGTTAACTGAACGATGTACTTAATCACATCATGGCACAATGTATGTTAACTGTATGATGTACTCAATCACATCATAGCACAATGTATGTTAACTGTGTGATATACTCAATCACATCATGGCACAATATATGTTTACTGTACGAGAAACTCATATACCAAGAACATAATGACACCATAATGTGCTGTATACTTATACACAAACAATACCATGACCCAATTCATGCACATACCGAACGCTACATTCTTATATCGCCTCTTTCAGTCTGGACTCTAAATATACAGAATCATGCAATGACTGAGTAATAGTATCGATGATAAATAAGCGCGTCTTTGATATACATTACTCATTTGCCGCTGCCGCCAATCGGTTTTAAAGAAGTGGAATACATGACTTCTAGACGCACGTAGACCATATCTATCGAAGTCATTGACGTCAGATTGTCTTTACTTCATATATAAGAGCAGTTATCTCAGTGTTGTGCCGCATCTTCCGCTGCAGTGTGTTGATACTTAATGCTCCAACAAGAGCAGATCGATCTCTAAGACTGCTATTTTGTACACGATGAATTATTACTGAGCCAATAGATTATCTGTAGTGGAGGAGACTCTCAGCTGCTCTTCCTAATGGAAGGTAGATGTTCCTGGACAGCTGCCAGTCTCAGTGTCCGACTGTATACACACGAATTGGGGATCGATTCCAGCAACAACCCATCGGTGTACCTAAATATTTATGATAAATATACACCTATAATTGGCGATTGACGTATATTGTCCATCAAAGTTGACAGATTGGGGGAGGCTGCATGTTTTGGTCCAGTCGGGCAGGAAGACCGACCCTGAGCTGATCAGAGATACCAGAATTAAGAATTGCTAGTTTGGGTGTATTTTTGAAACTTAGGTTGCTTATTTCTTTAGCTAGGCGGGGGGAGTAGGGCATGTCCTGGGAACTGTCCTGGACATGTCCTATATCAGTGTACATATTTACAGAGGGGGACGACCAAGGACATGACCTTTACTATTTGTGGATGCTTACTATCAACATAGTGGAACGAAATAAAACGTCAAGCAATGTGCATGTGTGCTGGATTGGAGTTATGGTGGGGATGATGCACACAGTTTGATTGTGGACTGGTGAATGATGATAATGATTGGTGGTGATGGGGATGGTTTTTGTAGATGATGAGGATGAGGATGAGGAGGATGAGGATGAGGAGGAGAAGCAGGATGAGGAGGATGATGATGATGAGGAGGAGGAGGATGAGAAGCAGGATGAGGAGGATGATGATGATGATGACGATGAGGATGAGGATGAGGAGGATGATGATGAGGAGGAGGAGGATTAGGAGGATGAGGATTAGGAGGATGAGGAGGAGAAGCAGGATGAGGATGATGATGATGATGAGGAGGAGGAGGAGGAGGAGCAGGAGGAGAAGGAGGAGGAGGAAGAGGAGTGGAGTGGAGGGTGGTTGTGATAGGAATGGTTGTCAGCGAACCAGACCACCCGATTACGTTAGTCGCCTCTTACGACAAGCATAGTCGATGATGATGATGATGTTGATGATGATGAGGAGGAGGAGGAGGAGGAGGATAATGATGGGGTAGGGGTAGGTGATGGCAGGATGGATGTGACGGTGTCGTTATTGGTCGTGGTGGCACTTCTCCAACATTTGTATCAGGTCTATATAAAATACTCTGTGAATATATAACCTGTTACTGTTGGCTAGATACGCCTCAATGTCTGTCTGTCCGTGTCTAGGCTTGCAATGAGTGCCCTGTGTGACACTGAGAAGCTGCCTCTGTTTAATTAGGTAAAATAAAACTAGTTATAACATACTAGAGCGGGACAATAAAGCTGTATTTAGCAGTCAAGTACAGGGAAATTAGCCGATATAGTTCCTCAGGGCGAGATCGGCGGTGTGGAAGAGCATATAGCGTGCAGCCTATATCCCTAGAGTGAGTGAGTGAGTGATAGGCGTTTTATGACATTATCAGCATTATCTCGACAACCCCACAACCTGGGATCAGACAAACTAGAGATCGATAATGTGCTCATCGACCCGATCACTCAATAAATCAGTCAATGTGAGATTTCTTCCCTCGCGGCAGTGCGCTCAGTATTGAAGCTAACCTGTCTTTGTGGTGTCACTTTACCACAAAAAGAGAATACCGAGAAAAGATTCTCCTCAGAAGTGTCTGCAGGACATTTTCGTCGAGAAAGAGTTGTGCCCTTCGCAGGTATGCATTTCAGTGGTGATGCGTGTGTGATTTCCTATATCACGCATAGACTAACGCCATCAAAATTCAGGTTAAACGGCAGTACAATTGTAGGAGCCTCCATTAATGTTATCACGATACGTCGTAAATGCATCGCGGGTGTATACAAAATATGGGTTCAGTGGAAATCACTGATGCTACCGCGGATTCACATTAATATCTTTACATGAAACGCCTTATGAAAACATCACTAATAACGCCATGTGAATGACGCTGTGAATAATGACGTCACGCGACTGGCGCCATGAATAATGACGTCACACACAACTGACGTCACGCTCTACTGCATGTGTACTACATGTTTAATCAGTGTGTAGTTCATACAGACCACCTCCGTAGTCTAGTGGTTGAGTGTCTGCCCGGGAGGGGAGGGTCCGGGTTCGATCCCTCGTCGCGTGATACCAAAAGACGTTGAAAGATGGTACTTGTTGCTACCCTGCCTGGCGCTTGGCATTAAGGGGCTAAAATAAGGACTGGTCGGCTCGGAGTCAGTATACTGTGTCTGAGTGGGGTATTCATGTTACACTGTGGCATGGCATCTCAGTGGGTTCGCACTATACAATCGACATCAGTCCGGACTTGTTCAAGCAGCTGCACCACACACACACACACACACACACACACACACACACACACACACACACACACACACACACACACACGTGCATACACGTTATATAAATGCATTAATTTGGGTCGCGACGTTAAACCCAATTTAACCTCACCTCACCTCACCTCACCTCACCGCACCTCACCTCACCTCACCTCACCTCTTATGCATTCTATCATACCGCTACAAGACTTCCTCCCCATTTACAAGTGATTAATATAATGCATTTCTATATAGTCATACAAAAAGAACGGTAATGAGCCTGGACGAGGAATATAAAATCAGTCCCTAATACCTCATGAAGTGATAGACCACCATGGCACTGGTCAAGTGTTGAGACTAACCGGAGTCCATCCGGAGGTGAGAGGTCAACCAGTACCAGCAAATAGTTCCATTGTCATCTGGCCACGCACAGAAATATGACATCCGGCTTGTTGGATGTATTCAGTCTGACAGTCATGTTAAATGGTGTCCTGTTATGGCTATTCAAATCATTTCAAAAGAACTCTATGTTATCGACCATTAATGCAATGCAATCACAATGCCGCTGTAATGTTGTGTTCAACAAAGATCACTTGCATTGTAAGGTCATCGATCGGACAGTCAGTGGCACTGATCACTGTTCAACATCCAACCAATCACCCGCCCACCCCACCCCAAACACTACACACAACATACCCACTTTCCCAGTTCCGGAACAACCCCGACGTCACGCTGGCAAACTGATTGGCACAAAGAATGTCAAAGATTGTCAAACTGATTAAGCAAATACTTAAACTGTCATATCAGCTAGAATCAACATGACATGATTAAGCTCATTGACATTTAAAGGTAATTTCTAGACATCGTGAGGCTAAGTGAGCAGGTTGCTGTGCGATCATCATAATAAAAATAAATAAAACACGAACTAAAACATACCGATTTGATTCCTAAAAAATTGACCGGTATCCGTTCAAGTCTCGTGTGTTTATTCTTGGGAAATGTGCTCCTATTTAGATCAATTGGAAAGGCACGGAATGCGCCATCTAATGTTTTGATTGTCTTGAAATTTCAAGACACGTACATGTAGTTGAACATTCAATAAAATATCTTGAAATTGAAGAAACTATGTTGAAAATTCGAGTTGTTATCTTGCAAATTCAAGTTATTGAGTTGAAAATTCAAGATATTGTGTATTCAGATAAACTGACTTTAAAAAATTAACTCCAAAAGGCTTCACTTTCGGCTTTGATATAACACTGTTTCGAGATAGAAGCTTGAATATAAAAATAGCATCTCGAAGTTTCAAGATTGCACCATGAATTTGCAAGATAAAAAGATACCGTTTACAGTCCTAATGGGCTTCCGTGAGAATTGTAGCATCTGATCGACTTTTAGTATGCTCGGAAACAGTCTGTATTGGTGTTTTTCCATCTTTTTAAACTTAATAAAAGGGTTGAAAATGAAGAATCAGAACTGTTGCATTTTAGAAGTTGATCCATACACACATTATAACTGGTTCTAGATTTTGAAACGGCTTGAGATATAAATTATTTTCAAC